ACAGGCTGAGAACTGCTGCTCTAGATACACTCTGAGTTTGCTTGATGAGATGACCAAAATATAATTCTCATTTATAACTGGCTCACCCTGGAACTCTTGGAATTTCCTAAGTGTTGAGAGTGAAACAAAGATATCTTTTGTTATGCTGTTGAGGTGTATTTTGGAAAATACACAGGGATGGAAACTGGTTGCTAATGGGACTGACCATGTAATTAGAGGGTTGGAACTTTCAGTCCAACCCCAAAGCCTTGAGAGAGGGGAGAGCAGCTGGAGGTTGAGCCAACAGCCAATAATTTAATCAATTATGACTGTGTGTCAAAGCCCCCATAAAAATCCCAGAGTATAGGGTTCAGAGAGCTTCTGGGTTGGTGAACACGTGGAAATACTGGGAAAGTGGCACCCTAGAGAGGGCCTGGAATCTCTACGCCCCTTCCCACTGCCATGTCTTATGCATCTGGTTCGCCTGGCTGCTCCTGAGTTACATCCTTTTACAATAAACCAGTGATCTAGCAAGTAACATGTTTCTTTGAGTTCTGTGAGCCATTTTAGCAAATGAATCAGACCCAAGGAGGGGCTTGTGGGAAGCTCTGATTTATAGCCAGTTGGTCAGAAGTTCAGGTAACAGACTGGATCTGCAAGTCGCATTCTGAGTCGGAGGGAGTTGTTGGAACCTCCAATCTGTAGTCAGTTGTTCAGCAGCACCCAGAGCCTGGGACTGGTAGCTGGTGTCTGAAGTCGGTGTGTGTGTTGGGGTGGGGCGCAGGGCTCTCTTGTAGGACTGATTCCTTAACCTGTGGAATTTCATGCTATTATCCAGAGTCGACATAAGGAACATCCAAACCTGTAGAAAATTTTTATGAGATTATTGGAGCCAAACTGACAATTACCGGGAATGGATTGAGAAAAATGCTCCAGAGAATGGCAGTTTTGCAGTTTATTCCATGCATTATACTCAAAGGAGGCGACCTAAGGAGGGTTACATGGAACCCATTGGTGGTAGATTAGGGGGGCAGCAAAGCAGGGGGACTTCTCTGGGATTGGACTACAAGGAAAATGGAGAGGCACATACTTCTTTTACATTGGTGGCCACAGGATAGTGAACAATGAACATTTACAGCACACAGAGATGGTATGTGGGGATAACAGATTCCACAGTCTGTGCTCTGGTGGAAGGCTGTGCCCTGAGGGGTCTGGAAAAAAGGGGATTACTCTAACTTTCTAAAGATATGTTATTGTAGATGCAAAAAGACAATAGGTAGGTTCACGTTAGGTAAAGATTGGTCTTTGTCAAGGAAAATACCTGCCCAGGACACCATACCTTCAGCGACTTGCTTTCAGTTAAGAGGTTTCCATTTGAGACCTTCCTATGTGGTTGCTTCAGGTCTCAGATTGTAAGACCCACCATGCAGGCTTCTCCTGAGCTTGTCAGGTTTAGCATGTGACCCCAGGGTAGATAGTGTCAGAACTGAGTGAATTCCTAGACACCCTGCTTGTGCCTGAGAATTGCCTGTTGGTATGGGGACTCTCGTCCCACTCCACCCCCACCCACCCACACACACATGGGGAATTAGATCTCTGGACTCCAATTTAAACTCAAGGAGAGGGAAATTAAGCTCTACCTTTTGGAGGAAGGAGCATCAAGGAATTCGTGGGCATATGTTAAAACCACCACAGTACTTTATAGATTTTGGATGGGGATATTTTGCACCTGTGCAATACCCTGTTCTTCCTTGAGGTTTCACCCACTGAATTTAGCATGCATCGGTAGGCTTCGCCGCAGCAGTGATTATTGCGGTGTTCTCATGGTGATTTTGTTTTCCTCATTCCTTCTACATTTATCCAAAACGATATTTTTAGTGGATATCTATTTGTACCCCAGTGTGTTTCGTGGCCTGGCTCCTCAACTTGGTCAACCTGGATAAGGCCTTCTCTTGAGAGTATCCTTTTCCCTCCCTTTTGTAGTCTCAGATTTTCTGTAAGTTTTGGCATTAAAAAAAAAATCACATGTGCCATGGGTTTAAGATAGGCGTTCAAAAATAGTAGATGTTAAGCCTGGCCGGTGTGGCTCAGTGGTTGCGTGTTGACCCATGAACCAGGAGGTCACACAGTTCAACTTCTGGTCAGGGCACATGCCTGGATTGCGGGCTCAATTCCCAGTGGGAGGCATGTAGGAGGCAGCCGATTAATGATTCTCTATCATCATTGATGTTTCTGTCCTTCTCTCCCTTTCTGAAATCAATTTAAAAAGAAATATTTTTTAAATGGTAGTTGTTAAAATGAAAAGCCTGATTCTACATTTGAACCACTTCTCAGGAGTCTCTTCTAAAGAGTGACTTCATGGACAAGATGATAGTAATTAGTAGCCTTAAGCCAACACTGTTTCTTCACCTCACTTTGATATACCAAGTTTTAGGGTCTATAATTCAATTACCACCAATTGGGCAAGGATGATATTTATTTTTCTGTTCTGTATAGCTATGCTTGTTTTTAGCATCCCTAAGAGTTTTCAGGTTTTGCCTATAGGAAAATCCATTTGGTTTCTTAAAAGATACACTGAGTCTCTTTAATTCAGTTTTTACATTGATTCAATAAAATGGTTCACTATAGGCACAGCTCAGATCATATATTTGCAGAATTTTTTATATAGCTATTGAGTACAAAATATCTGACTTTCAAGGGCATGTTTATGTGAGTAAATTATAGCAATGAAATAACAAAATGATTGTATATTAATCATACGCAAATTATACATATCCTATATAATAAAACTCTAATATGCAAATCAACTGAATGGTGGAACACCTGGTGAAATGACTGGTTGCTATGATGTGCAATGACCATCAGGGGGCAGATGCTCAATGCAGGTGCTGCCCCTGACCGTCTGCACCGCCACCCCAAGAGGGAGGCAACCAATGGCAGCGATCAAAAGGCAGGGCCGGCCAATGGGCGGTGCCAGGCTGCCAACCAAGGCAGGTGCCAGCCGCCCACCCCCCCCATCATCCCACCCACTGGTCGCCCCACAGATGGCCCTGATCGCCGGCCAGGCCTAGGTACCCTACCCTATATATTGGGAACAGCCTCTTAGATGTAAAAATTAAAACCTGGCAAGGCTACTCTAACAATGAAAAAACAGGATGATGCAGCAATGACAAGCATGGACTCTGGCTTACACATTTTGTGGTCATTCCTGATTCTAACACTTATAACTGTGTGGCAAAGCCAATTACTTAACTTCTCTCTGCTTCAGTTTTCCACCCATAAGATGGGGAAAGTGGTACTACTGCCTCAGAAGGATCATATTATGCACTACTTTTTATAATCAGGGCAAAAAAATGTACCTGCCCATACAACAGCAAGATGCTTTTCACCTGCATGAAAAGTATGGTCACTGGTGCATGCAGCGTCCCGGATTGCGAGAGGGATGTCCAACTGCCAGTTTAGACCCAACATCCCCCAAGGGGTCCCAGATTGCAAGAGGACACAGGCCAGACTGAGGGACACCCCCCCGCCCCCGTGCACTAATTTCATGCACCAGGCCTCTAGTATATGTAGATGTACATGCTCTATATATTTAAAAATAAAACAATAAGATATAAATATCTTAAAATATATAGAGATATAAATAATACAATGAAACCTGAGGGTCTGGTGGGGCCTGGAGGAGGGGCCAGCACCTTGGCCCGGAAGGAGGCCTGACTGGAAACTATCAAATAAAAAACCTTGTATTAAATCTACGAGGAGTTTCTTCCATTCATTCAAACTGACAGTTTGTTTTCATATAAACACCATTGACTTGATTTCTATAAAGTATTCATTTTGAATTTTTTTCCAGCAGTGGGGATTAGTTTGTCATGAGCCATCCATACCAGTATTATTTTTGTAATAGTTTGCCAGGACTGGGGGATGCACACCAATGTTGATAAAGGGATGTAACCTCCCACTCTTAGACTCCAGTTTGTTTGAATGTCACATATTTAGTGAAATTTCAACCATCCTTTCCTTTACCAATTGATCATGCTCAGAATTTTGTTCAGTCCTTATCACATATTATCATAATTAATTTTGAATATTGAACTGGGGTTCAATATAGCACAGTGTTTATTGAAATATAATGCACATATGCCCAGCTGGCATGGCTCAGTCGTTGAGTGTCGACCTATGAACCAGGAGGTCACGGTTCGATTCCCAGTCAGGGCACATGCCTGTTTTTTGGCTCCATCCTCAGGGTGGGGCATGCAGGAGGCAGCCAATTAATGATTCTCTCTCATCATTGATGTTTCTCTCTCTTTCTCCTTCTCCCTTCTTCTCTGAAATCAATAAAAACATATTTTTATTTTTTATTTTTTAAATATATTTTATTGATTTTTTACAGAGAGGAAGGGAGAGAGATAGAGAGTTAGAAATATCAATGAGAGAGAAACATCGATTAGCTGCCTCCCGCACATCTCCCACTGGGGATGTGCCCACAACCCAGGCACACGCCCTTGACCGGAATCGAACCCAGGACCCTTCAGTCCGCAGGCCGATGCTCTATCCACTGAGCCAAACCGGTTTCGGCTAAAAACATATTTTTAAAAACATATAATGCACCTATAATACAATTCATCCTTTAAATTGTATAATTCAATGTGTTTTAGTACATCCACCAACTTTTGCAATCATCACCACTGTCTAATTTTAGAACATTCTCATCATCCAAAAAGAAGTCCCATCGGCATTAGCAATCACTCTCCCCATCTCCTGGAAAACACTGATCTACTCTGTCTCTAAGGAATTGCCTTATTCTGGACATTTCATAGAAATGGAATCATACCAAAAAAAAAAAAAAAAAGAAATGGAATAATATAATATATAGCCTTTTGCGTCTGGCTTCTTTCACTTGCATGTTTTCAAGGTTCAGTATTATAGCATGTATCAGTACGTCATTCTTTTTTATGGCCAGATAATATTTCTTTGTATAGATATACCACATTTTAAATAGAGTCATCAGTTGTTTGGACAGCTTGGGTTGATTCCACTTTTTGGCTATTATGAGTAATGCTGCAATGAACATCTGTGCATGAGTTTTTGCGGGGATGGGTGTTTCCAATTTTCTCGCATCCTGGTGTTTAGAAATGGGCTATGCTGCCACACTGCCTTGGGTCGAAGGCTAGGCTCTGCCATTCACAAGCTGTGTGAACTTGGACAAGCTACTTAATTTCTCTGTGCCTCAGTCTCATCTATAAACTGGCTATTCTTACTGTATATGAGGCCTAAAAGACATGGAAAGTACTTGGGGTAATGCCTGGTATATAGAGTTAGGTCTGAGTAAAATTTATCTATTATTTTAATATTTTGAGCAACTTATTGATAGGGTTCATCGTCACTGTACCTTTGAAAACCCAGAACCTAAAGGTGTTTCTTTTCCTTTAATAAAAAAGAGAAATAAATATTCAGAATTCCTTCTGGGTATCAGGATGTGCTAGTTTCAGACAAATGTATTTTGAAATTGAAGAACAGATGCTTGAAACTGTAAATTGCGAAGGGGCTTGCCTTCCCCAACTTACTTCATGCAGCAATTTATAACACTCATCAGCCTGCAACTAATTATTTAATACAATTTAGAAGATATTCATGTAGCCGGTAATATATTATTTAATAACATGGCTATAAACCGGTAATGCTTTAAAACTTCTGCTTCTGAAAAGCTGGGAAATAGCTCATTTCCACACAAACCCTGTGGTTGCTCGTAGCTCTACGCAGATCGATTTTTGATTGGCTCACGCAATGGAAATGGTCTCTGGCCTAGACAATATCGCCAGCGTGTGGCCAATATTCTCCACCATTGCCTTCCTGGAAGCCGGCGGACACGTGGCTACCGCAGGCCGGGCAGGACGTGGGAGGACCTAGTTCTGGTTACCGCGAGAGGGCGCTGGCGGCTCCTCGCCGCTTAAGTCTCATTTCCCATAAAGCCTCCGAGCGACCAATCAAGTGGCTGTCTCCATACCGCTTTCAAAGTCGGCGGGCCCTTCCACCAATAGTAAGGCAGGTGCCGCCCTCAGCTCGAGGATTGATGGAACGCTTCACCATTCATCTCACAGATCTCTGCTGTCTCCGCCTCTCTCGCTCGAGATGGATGACCTGTCTGACCAATAGAGGACGCCCGGTCGGCGGGTGGATGAACGCGGTCTTCTGTAATGGCGGAGCGTGGCGGGGACGGGGGGGACGGCGAGCGCTTCAACCCGGGGGAGCTCAGGTAAGGGGCGCCGCTCTGTCTTTCTTCTCGGCATGCGGGGCCCCGCGGGGT